GACACAGAAGCCATTGAATCTGTCACTTCTTTCAGAAATTAAGCTAACTCTAGGATTCCTTACAGAATCTGGTCACAACTTACCTGAATTTGTTATCTTTATTTTATATATGTGTGTATATATATACAAACATACATATATATATACATACATATATATATATATACATATACATACATATATATATATACATATACATACATACATACATACATATATATACATATATATATATATATACTTCTTATTAACATATTGCACTTCGGGTGAGACTTGGATTAATTTTTAATGAGAAAGTGGGATGACTTTTCCATTATAAGATACACCCTTGCAGTACACATATGCCAGAAATCTTAATGAAATTCTCCTTTGCAAATGTTATGCCAACAGCACAAGATTAGCAGGACTGTCTACTTTGGCCTCTGGAAATACACAATGAACATATGAGGGTAGACTGATGAAATGAAGTGTTATGGTCGCATTCCTTTGCAGTACAACTGTTTTTGGAGATGGTCATTTGGTGATATAAGCTTTGGTAGCTGAATACTTTAGTGCAAAGATTTTAAATATGCTAAACTGTCAATAATGTAATATATGTGCTGCCTGAATTATTACGATCATTGTCAATGAGTCAACTTTAAAGATCATCCACTAGTGAGGACAAGGTATTGTTCAGTGCAAGTTTTTTAACCAAAACTGGAACACTGTAAAATGAATTCAGTAAAGTAAAGGAAAACTAATCCATCAGGTATCAAAACGGGGCTATCAGAAGGGGACAGAATCTTTAGCAGAGCCTGCTGTGATAGGAGAAAGTAAAGTGGTTTCAAGGTAAAAGAGGAGAGACTGGACATAAAGTTTTTTATGCTAAGGTGATGAGACACTGGAACAGGTTGCCCAGACAGGTAGTAGACACCCCATGCTTGAAGACATTCAAGGTCAGGCTGAATGGGGCTCTGAGCAACCTAATCTAGTGGTAGGTGTTCCTGTTCATTGCAGAAGAGATGGACTAGATGATCTTTAAGGGTCTCTTCCAACTGAACTCTAACTCAAATGATTCTATGATTCTAAAACTAACTAAAACAAACTTCCAAGTAATCGAAATAAGAACAAAAGCTAAACAGAAATATTTGGTATATCTTCAGGAAACAAGGGTGCTAAATTAGAATCAAATAAACAAAAGATGCTTATCACTTAACTCAGCAGTATGCACCATGCACAACCACATGCTGAGGCAGGCATGCAAAAAAAAGGTCACAAAAATAATTGCTTCTTTAGATACTTGCAAAGAAAACAAGTTTCTTGGAACAACATAATCTGTCAGAGTAATGCAGAAAATGTCATTTATACTATTATGGATGAAGCATGTGATAAAATTACAGGGAAAACAATGGAGTAGAATATTGTGGAAGGTGAAGAAAATAGAGTGGATCCAGTTAGAGAAGTGTACTCCAAACAAAAATAGTGTCCAGACACTGTCACTAAAATACCATCTGTGTCAGTGAAAATTTCAAATTCTCAAAAGGCAAGGAAATAGTTATAAAAATAAAATTAGAGGTTTGTACTAAAACATAATCTTCTCTCCTACCAATAACACGGAAATATGAATATGAACACCAGAAATATCCCTCAGAACAAAGTTCAAGTATACTAAATAAATTATCAAATATCTGTAGATGACTTTGTCCATGAAACTGGACAAAAGAAATTCAGTAGCATTTTACATCAGAAAGGGTATCTTGGGCCTCAGAATCAGTAAAAGAATAGAGGTGACAGTCAGAATGAATATGTCACAACATCTATTTAAAAACAAGTCTCTCCCTGTAGGTCTTAAAGCTTTATAAATGAAACTTAAAATCCTGACAGAAATTCAAATTCATTCATAGGAATTAAAAAAGAATAAAAAGCAATTTGGATAAGGGATTTTGTTAATGCTCAGACAATACTGTCCATACTTGGCTGCATAACACTTATCCGCTGATAAATAAGATCAGAAAGTCTGTCCTGTGGTGGAAAAATTGTTAAACAGTACTTCTGGAATGTTGGCACACATGCAGGCTAGATAGAAAATAAAAAATATTCTCAAGCTCTGTACTTTGTCAGATAAAATTAGAAAGTTGATTTTTATCCTATATGTAGTAGAGTTCAAGACTGTGATATATTCTTTTCTCAGACTGGGCCATTTTTGCAGTCAAGATACTAAAATATTGGACTTCTGATCTAGAAAATCCTATCCATGCCAATGGCTAAAATTCCACTGATAGCTATTGTAAAGTTACGAGGACCTCGGATACTCTCTTTTACACTATGTAAAACAGAAATCTTGGAAGATAATTTATAATGATATAATTATTAGGAATTAAAGGCGGATTTGTATGAAACTACTCAATGTTGGGGACAAATACTGATCAGAGAAACAAGAAAGTGATTGTAGATGCTTCATGAAGAAACTTAGCAAGAATTCCTCTTTCTACAGTGTCTTATAGATCCATTGTGTACAGTGGAATAATTGAATGAATATTTCATTCTTTTTTTAGAGCGACATCAACAGTAACAATGTAAAACATTGTGTAAATGAATAAAAAAATCAGTCTTACTTTTTAAAAGCAAAGCAAGAGCATTAACTCATCTCCAATATGTTGTTCAAGTGACTACAAAAATCTATTAACTGATATATTTTGAAAAGTGTATGTAATTCAGGAAAGGCATGCCTGTGGGTGTAGCTTTTAATTATATGATCAATATAAAATGCCAAGTTAAGTATCTACTTTAAAATCGAGTATATATTTATATAAACCTAAAATTATTCAATATTGCCAATAAGTAATATGATTTTTTTTTCATTAATTGCTATAATTGAAATAGTCCATATATTGTGTCTTAAGAATATAATGAATGGGAAACAGATCTTAAACTCGGAAATAGAATTTCATGTTTGGTATAAACATTGAATATATTTTACAAAATAGCCAGTACATTTATGTGAAGAAATTTTCCTTTTTTTTTTTTTGTTCTCTTTCACAAATAGCACAGAACTAAGCATACTGGGCCTTTACCTTGCTTCTCAGAAACGTGGTCTGAATTTTTCAACACTGTTTCTCACAGAGTGTGAATTGACTAAATCTGGTTATGAAGGCAATACTTTAACATTCACAAATATAAGTCATGCTTTTCCGCAACAATCGTTCACAACATTTAACTTTTCATATAACAAATGACTTTGTAAATCAAAAAGCATCTGTTTCACAGTGGAGTCACTGCTAGACTTTTGGAGATCCAAAGTTGAGGAGCTACTCTCTTCTTAGAAATCAAATGATATAAGCACCTCTATAATTTGTTTTTGCTTTCTGGGGACTTGAACCGTTTCTCTTTTTGTTTACCTGTAATGGCAACTGAACACCCAATAACAACAGAATATTTATTATTCTATGTTTATTCTGTGATTTCTCAACACAGCTCTGTCATAGCATAGTGAAGTAGCACACAGCAAATACTGGGAAGAAAGAGTAGCCAGCTGTGTATTTTATCTTCTGAAATTCAACTCACTACAGACACTCCTGTCTGTCTCCACTTCCCTTCATGGTCATTCCAGTTTTCTTCTTTCTGGAAAGATAAAAACTGGAGAGCAATCTTCCCCAAAATGCCCTTCTCACAGCAGGTCTGCTCTGCCTTAGTAGAGTGCCAAATAGCCCAGGAAGCTGCCTGGAGAAACAGCTCTGACACTTGTCAAAGCTGCTTTCAGACATCAAGAGAACTCCAAGAGAAAAAACTTGAACAGCTCCACAGATCTCTTCACATTGTATATTATTAATGATACAGCTGCACAAAGCCAGAGATTAGGTGAATCACATCTGGTACAGGATGCTATTTTGTAAATTAAAGCAAAACTGAAGGTCTCAGGAAGGTTTTTTAATATTTCTCACAATCTGAGGCTAGATGATCAGTCCATCTATTCATAACTAACTGTCTTTAAAAAACCCAGAGGTGACATATTTTTCTCTCTTTTAATGCAACCATGACTCTCTCCATGTCATTCTTCAAGAAAAGGCCAAACCAATATTCTCCCTTTAAAATACCCAGGTTATTCATTTTCTCTCCACAAATAACTGTGTCCTCTCTCTCCCCATTTCGAGAGCATGTATACATCCTTAGGGTATCCTAGCTTTAACTGTACGAGAACATACCAAGAGAAGAGCAAAGGTACAAAGTAGAGATAAGGAAACACAGACTTTTCAGATGAGTACCAGTGGAGATCTTCTTGTTCAAATAATGACAAAACAAAGCTTGTAATGCTAATGATGTGCCTTCGTATTTCATCCCTGATTTTATAAATATCATTGCTTTTCATTTCTAGGATTATGTTGTTCTATCTTATTCTGTTGTGTTGGATGATTTCCATTATGATTTCAGAAGGAACTGTGACAATTAAATAAAGTCTGGGCAAACTGAATTGATCTAACATGATAAAACAGTACTCAGTCATGGTCAGTTGCTTTAGCTACATATCTGCCTAAGATCTTTGTGTATTAGAACAGATAAGCATGGAGATGTGGAAAGGGGGAAGATAAAGCACAGAGGTGATTGCTCAGCTAAGATATTTGATATACTAAGAGCAACAATAATTCATTTCTAGAAGCATTTTGGGGTTAAGGTTTACTATTTGCAGGGATAAAAAAAGCAATGAGCTATTAACAATAAGTTCCTTTCTCTTGCATTTCAGACACACGCACACAAAAAAGCATGGAATATTTTAGCAATTTCTACAGGCTACATTTGACTCTACTTTTAACATAACCTTATTTTTAATTCATGCATAGTAGACAGAAAATTAAAAGCTTTAATAAGACAGCCATTAGATCTTATGCTTTATTAAAACTATTCGCACAATCTTTTTGCACTTGTGAAATCTTTCAACAACACAAATCACACTTCCAATGCATAAAGAAGCAGAAATTCTCAGGAAAACAGAAGAATATTAGGAGTTCAATGATGTAGGAAAGTACCTGGATAAAAATCCCTGTGCGCAAACATGTCAATCACATAGCGACAGAACGCATATTGATCTAACAGATGAAAGAGGAAAAAAGAGTAATGAAGAAAGCAAATTAAACTGTTGTTTCTACTTAATGATGAAGATATAGTTTGGCAATGTAAAGACTCACTTGGGGGATATTTTTGCATATTCTTACTTATTTTGTGTTTTTTTTTTCCCCCTGGACTTGACTTCTAGACATTTTCAGAAAGAGACTATTTATTGTACAGATATAACTGTGAGCCACCCAGTCAAGTACTTAAGAGCTACCTCAGAGTCACTACCTCTTCTTTCTGGCCTGCAATGTGTGGACCAGTACAGCAATGTACTATCTTGCTCCCCACAGAGGCACAATCCAAACTACTATATGGTCCAAAGAATATTTCATATCCCTGCAAATCCATTTTATATTGTCTCAATAAGACAATAGCAAAATTCAATAAACTTTTATATCACAGTATTTTGTTAATACTGCGTTAACAGTATAATCAATATGTAAGCTTATTGAATGGGAATATAAAAAGAACTCTGTGTACTTACACTTCTGCAGCAATGAGATTTTCAACTGAATTTTATCATTTCACTACATAATTATTTTCCAAAATCTTTACATATATCTTTACATAGACATATATAATGCATATAATAAATTTGATTATAAATAGTAAAACTTTGCTATTCAGCTTCTTTATCTACATGAAATTCAGAATTCAGAAATGTTGATTGTCTACTGATTTCTTTTATATATAATCAGAGAGGTAGACTTCAATCAAAATTGCTAAGATTAAGAATCTTTATATAACTGAGTGCAAATGAATTACAATATTTTTGCTGAACTCTCCAGTTGGCTGGAAAAATATGTTGTCCCACTGGACTACAAGGGACACTATCTTCCAGCGTTAATGATGATGATCAAATGCAGGCTTTGGTTAGCTGTGTAGGTTTACAACAGCCTTTGAATAAAGGGGCTGAGCAAATTAATCTGTCTGTCCTATACAGTTACCACATACTTCCAAGGTACGGTTACATAAGCTACATTCTCCATCTCCAGTTGCATCTCATTCCTGCACACCTATAAGGCCACTCTTTCTCTTTGCCATCTTCAAAACAGTATTATACAGACTTTGAAATGCTTCAAATGTAGAAAAATAATAATGATAAAAAAGAAAATATAAAATCATATTCTTAACAATGCAAGATTTTATTATTTACTTTCTTACAGAGTTCACTAGAGCATCAATAGTAGTTAAACCAATTGTTTCTATAGTCCATTAGAGCCCATGCAGCTGTTTCCTATTACTAAATTGGCAGGACTTCTAGTCAGAATTGAAGGACTTGGGCCAAACTTGCCAGAACATACACAAGTCCATGAGTGCTTTTAAACTTTTAATGACTATCCATAATAGTTTCTGATTTTGAATCTAGGAATTCAAATTTACCATTTTGATCAGCTCCAGTCTTGGATTCCGTCCTTAAGGAATCTGAACATTTTGGCTGCAATATCTGTACTAAGCCTATGTGCTAATTTTCTGTCATGGAGAGGGGGTGGGTGAGAGAGGAAAGTAGAAGCAAGAAAAAGTATTCTCAGTAAGCCCCTCTGAAGTCAGCTTACTGACTTCAACATGCTTGGAGATAGGACCTCAGTGAGTTAGTCAATCAGCTTACGTCTGTATAATAAAAATTACCACAGTTAATTGTTTAGCCCTGAGAGAAAATGGCAGGGCACAGCTCATGCCCAGAAACCTGAATTTTCCTTACCCCCATTTTGCTGGGAGTCTGTCTGTCTTTATCCATGCTGCTAATTTGGAAGAGCCTCTGGATTATTTCCAGGCATTGTATAAGAGACTGCTAAAAGGCAATGATACTAAACTGTCAGGGCACATAAGCTGTATGGACTGTCACAGGACAGAGCACAAGCTTGTGCTGAATCTATTTAAGTTATGATACAGGCATAGCCTGGGGGACTTAGCAGTTCACACAGTTCCCATGATACTAAAATAATATGTTTTTTAATGATAGTAATACAAACAAGGATCAAAATAGACATTTTTTTTCTGTGATAAATATAAAAACATTATTTTTCTGAATAAACATAAAATAGTAATAATAGTTTTAACCACACCTGGAAAGAAAGACTTTGTAATAATCTTCTTTAAGTAACTCAACTCCTGAAAAATGGGACTTGTAAAGAAAACTGAAGGCAAAATTCTAAACTGAACAACACAGATAGTATTTCTACTATATATGAAATAATAAGGTGCACAGTAACATTCTATTAAAGTCCAATTCTGCCAACTGGCAAAGACTGAAACATTGGGAATTTTAAATGAGTACGATTCTCCAAACAACACTTCATGGCTAAAAATTAATTTCAATTTAAACTCTCCTGCTCAAATGAGAATTTCACAATAGTTTTAACCTTGTAAGTCTATCACGGTGATACAGATTTTCACCTGATGATTGAAAGTTCATCTCAATGTTTGGAGCTAAATTCTTATTAATAAAAACAGTCACAGGTATTCCTTTGTCACTTGACCTCATCAGATTTACCTGGGAAACAGACTATCTTTTTTAATTTTAATTTCATTGAGGACTGATACAACAGTGGGAGCATCATAACAACTCCTATTTATGTTTACTGCAATTCTTTTTACAGTCTTCAGGAAATGCTGGCTAAACCACTCCCTTGAACAAGGAAAAGTAAGGATTGCAAGATTAGGGAACATTGGTTAAAGCATTTTAAATTAAAAATTGTGATCATCATGGGCCACACTGAGTCTGAAATGTAGATCTGAATTTTCTGAGAGTATCAGGTTGGATAGCAGCAGTTTGCGGTGAAAGGAACAGAAGTCAAAGAGGCAGCATTCACTGAATGTATGTGACTCTATCTCCAGTGATAAGGACATTTTAAGAGACTCCTTTCTTTCTATGCTCCAGCTGTTCATTTCCACTTCCACCTGCTGTGGTTCAGTGCACAGTCCCTGGGGTCACAATCTAAAGCAGACTTACAAAGTGATATGTTAATCTTTGATGATAAAACTGATCATTTTCCTAATTTTTATCAGTTAAAAGAAAAAAAAACAAACAAACCACGCCCCTCCTCTATCTATTTCACTCCATCTATTTCTCTCTTTGATCCCAACTCACTTTAAACACGTTTTCTATCAAGAGAATAAAGTGCCTCATCTGCACAACTGTTGCTTTTTGAGAGCTTTAACCTGAACAGTACAAAGTGAATTCCACTGTTTACCAAAACTTTGTCATAGCAAACAAAAACTAAAAGAGGTTTGCACATCCCAATGGCAATTCAACAGTTTGCTGGACTTTTCCATTCATCAGAACGTTATGAATGATGCTGCTTTGATTTTATACCTCAAGGGCTGCAGTATTTCAAGTGAAAACCGGAATTAACTAAAATACATTTATTTGTATAAATTGTATAAAATAATGCTCTCTCAATATACTACACATGTCAGAAAGGGGCTTTGTCTCAAAAACTCCCCTTTCAGATTTCTAGAAATACATAATTTAAACAACCCCTACGGCGTCCAGAGTATGAGTATGACGTTCTTGGAGGGTTTGCCCCTTTAGATTCAGACATTCAGATAGGGATAGCTGTGTAGCAATAGCTGTTTTGATGCTCAGCCATAATAATTTATTTGTGGTTATCAGTTGAAATGATCAGATAGGTGTGCTGTGCAATGCAGAGCTAACTCTATTAATGTCAGAATAGTCCTGTGGCTGCTGTGGCAGTTCTTACAGAAAGTCAGCTTCTACTTCATGCATACAAAGTTGAATCTAGTTCACTAGAATAGTTAGAGGTTTATCGAGGGACAGAGCATTCATAATGACTTGGGAGTGCAACATCTGAGGCTGACTGAGAAAGAGAAGCATATAACTAACAGCTGCATTTTGTGTTGATGCATGTCGATTCCTTATTTTATAATTTAATTTCTTCCTTTCATCAAGGAAATGGCATTTCTTTCCTTTTTAGGAGAAATTTGGAATGCAATCATATCAAATAACATCAGGCAGGCATATAATTATGTCATACAGTACATGGCAATGTCTCACATACTCTGATGCAATACAAATGATTACACATTCTTTCATTTGCTGCTACTTTTATAATTGTTAATGAGGACATGGAGATTGAGAAAATAAACAGAATTTCCAACAGATTTTTGGGCAGTTGGTATTTTCCAAAGTAAATTTTGTAAAAAAAATAACATTCTACTGAGCAAATCCATGAAGACTCCAGCCTACTGGGGACATTGGTCCTTGGTAAAGGAGGATTCAAACTAAAAATGAATCTTTAGCCATGAAAAAACAGTTATCTGCATTAAACTTATTTTATTCTTGATAGTTTCCATCTAACAACCTGAGATTCAGCTGGAATTTGTTTTGCTCTTTTCTTTTTCATGGGTGGATTTTGGTCCTTGCCAGTTCTAACTTCCTTCTTTCTCCTTTATTTCTACTACTTTTTTAAGATCTTCGTCTGTTTCCTCCTCATACTGTTTACCTTTCTTTTCCGATTTAGTAAGAGGCTGAAGAGCTTTCTCCTCCTTGAATTTCGGTTTGGCCTTTATTAACCCAACTTCTGTTGTTTTAGTCTCTGTCTGCTTGATCTTCTCGGTCATCTTTGCTTCTCCTTTTCCGTCCTTCACTTCCTTTTTAACTTTTGTTTCCACTTTGGTGTGCTTTACTTTCTTCTCCTCTGCAAGTAATCAAGTCAAAATTTCAGTGTCATTCTTTTCCCCAAAAATAATAACATTTTATCTTGTGTTGTGTGGTTATTAATGAATATTTTTCATCAACATATTGTTTAGATCTGATGAAAACTATAATTCCTCAAAGCCAAACAGGTTTAGACAGAAATACTATATGTGAACTTTTTTTTTTTTTTTTTGGTTTTTTTTTTTTTTTTTTTTTTTTAATGGTTATTGTAGCTTTTTTGGATAGGTTTAGGTTTCTGATCAAGAAGTCTTGTGTTTTTGAGTCTTTCTTTGACCACATTCCCACATTTGTTCTGAGACAGGACTATTCATAATGTGCCCAGCAGCAGAGTGAAGGGGTTTCCAAATATCTTACATACCTTACAGTGGTCTTTCAGTATATAAGGACGGAGAGTGACACTTGGGCAGATAGTGATAGGTCAAAAAGGAATGGTTTTAAACTAACAGAGGAGAGGCTTAGGTTATATGTTAGAAGGAAATTGTTTATTCATAGAGTCATGTGAAACTGGCACAGCTTGTCCAGAGAAGCTGTAGGAGCACCGTTCCTGGAGATGTTCAAGACCAGGTTGGATGGGGCCCTGGGCAGACTGATATAGTGGGTGGCAACCTTGCCCATCACAAGAGATTTGAAACTAGATGATATTTGAGATCCCTACCAACCCAACACTCCTTGATTCTTTGGATTTCAGTCATTGAAATTTCAACAGGTTCAAATGGTTTATGCATAGAACTAACCTCTGGTTGCTCTTAAGAAGTTTTAATTCATTCAAATTTTAGTGTAACGTAGATGATTTTTCATATACATTCTATTCTCTACTCCAATTAAATAAAGTTTATAAATTTTGAAGTAAATTCTAGTTAAAAAAATATATATATAAATTAATAAATACCTTTGGGAGGAGGTTTCTTTTCAGTTCTTTCATGTCTTTCAAGTTTGTGTTTCTGAATTACTAGAAATGAGTACAGTTGTATATTAGGAAAATTTTAAAAACAAGCAAACAAACAAACAAACAAATGAGAAAACTTGTTAAAATTTGAAAAAATTGTTAAAACACAACAGCTTTCCTGAAAGTTTCACATTTCTTTACAACTCATGTTTGTTTTTTTGTTTTGTAAAATTCTTCTTTTTTCTCAGGTTCACTAGGTTGAAAAGCTTCAAAATACCTACTGAGAATCACCTAAGCAGAGGACATTGCAATTACACAGAAATGAAGATTTTTACAGAATGTTTGTATTGTATATTCCAAATGTCATAAACTTGCTCTGCACAAGCTCTGAGTAAACATAGGCTTGTTCTGCCTGTGCTCAAGCCAACAGTAATCTGTGTGACTACACTAGTCTCATTATTCTGACAGAAAAAGGGATTTCTTAACCTGGATTTGCTGTGAATACAGCCACAAGGTTGTGCTCACTTCAGAGCTATATCTGAGAGAGTTTATGTCTGCACAAGGAAGTACCTGTACACGATGGATGTCCCAGAAAGGCAGTCAAAATGCTATGAAGTGACTTCTATCTTTCCTTTTGTATTTGCTGTCCAGATACATTGCTGGATACAAAATAGGCTTGGCAGTTAATTACCCCTCTTGCAAATGATACTACTCTAACTGAATTTCAGCTTGGAATTGCTATCTATATGTCCTACGACTGATATTTTTCTTTATTTCTGTTTTTATTTCTATTTCTATTCTATTTTTAAGTTCACTCTTAGAAGATCTCTTTGATTATAACTTATATTTGTCATGGTTTTATGACGTTTGGTTATCAGTATTCCTCATCATAACATCATGTAGTGCACTGGGAGTTAAAGAGTCAATGCTCCAGTTCCAGGTACCTGTCCAGAAGAGAAGAACTACATACCCCAGAGGACTTTGAATTCAGAGAGGGGATATAAGCCCTGGTAGATAACCTGACTTGTCCTTTTTTTTGCTCTCTCTCGTCCCTGCTGCTCATCCTGACTGTGTGTCTCACCTCTGCGCTATGTTGAGGCCTTTCCACCTTTCGGACGCTCTCTCTCATTATATTTGATTAGTTAGTTTCAGTTCTAATTATATTGTATCGTAGTGTGTTATCTTCCATTCCAATACCATATGTATTAAAGTAGTTTGTTTATTCTCAGATCGTTGCCACTGTTTTAAATGATTTGGGGTCCCCTTTCTTCCCCTTTCCAGAAATGTAGATTCATGAACCCCTCCACCCTACTGGCCATGGAACTGGGCTGAACCAGCCTGTAAAACCATTGACAGTATTACTGAAATTTTCTGGAATATTTAACAGTGTTTGAAGAGCTCTTTTTTATTGGGCATAGAAAAAAAATCTCACAACAGGGGAAGTAGCTGCAAGTCTTTTCTGGAATATTTGTTCCCTGAATTTAGCCTAGACTCGAGCATCCTCATTTCCCCATAACTGTTATTTTTCAGTCTTTAAAGTCTTTATGTCATTATAGTTTCTCTCTCTTCACTGCCACCTAAAGTTTTAACATTTGAGTCTCTGTTCTCTGGACAGAGTAAAATCACTCCTAATTATTTTGTGTTTCCCATTATCATCAGATTGCCATAAAAATTATCAAATTCCATAAAAGGCTGATACTAAGATACATTGTATTGTATTTTTTTTTGTGGTTTGACTGAATAAAATTAAGCGAAGACTAGAATCTAACTTCATTGTAGAAATATCTGGTTCTTTCAAAAAAAAAAAAACAACAAAAAACCAACAAAAAAAAAAAAATAACAAACCAACACTTAAGATAATTAAGAAAGCTTAAGAGCAAAAAAATTCAAATACCAAGCAATAATAAATACTTGTCTTGAAAAATGAGAGCATGGGAAAAGCTGATTGTATTTTTAAATCCCCCAGACTGATTAGGGGGGAATCTGTGCATCTAAACAAGAGAACTAAACAAGAAATATACACTGTAGACTTCACTTAGAGGATGATTAAGATCTGCTCAAGTAAAAGTGAGAGCTGCCACGGACTGTACTATGGGGACTAAAACAGTTTTAAACATTACATCTCATCTTCATACATTCCCCAAATACACAAGTGATAAAAATCTAAAATTGTACAATATTCAATAATAATTATTGTTACCTTTAGAAGGTGCTTTTTTTTCATGCTTTTCTGGCTTTTCAGATTTCTCTCTGTGGATCACTAAAAATAAGTAAGAGCAATATTAACTGATGTTAAAAAAGAGAAGTTTTGCAAATGGGTGAGAAAAAGAAGAGGATTAAGAACAATCTAGGCACCATGACCAGAAAGACTAAATCAGCTGCAGCTGTCTGCTGATGGTGTCAAAACATACAACCAGAATTGTCAAAGATTCATGTAGTACCTTTGAGGTTTGTCATTGGCTGGGAAAAGAAGGGACTTTCTAGCACAACTGTAATCCAATGACAGAAAGTAGCCAGGGGTTGTGCATATTTTTGTTTATTATTTTTTTGGTAATGGTATACTTCGGTTCATTCTTATTTTTGAGCTTTCTTGGTTATTACTTTGTTGGGTATTTCTTTCTGAAGGACTTTCTGATCTCCACATAATAACTAACAGTTTTTTCAGCCATGAATGATTGAACACTATAATTAATTACAAATCTAATTGCAGTGGCATTATAACTAATGCTCTTTGGGGCTTCTTGTTTGCTTTTAATTTCCACTACACAAATTGAAATAAAGTACACTAAAGTGACAAGTTTTCTGGTTAAAATATACCTGATTGTGCAGTAGTCATTTAGTGGTGCATATTTTGAAATATTTTCCACTGTGGGATCTGACTTTATAATTTTTTGTTAGCTTATGTTTATACAGTAACCTATTCACAGGTGCCCAGAACTGATATCTATACACGTTCTTATTCACTGACAAACCCTACAAGGACCAGATGTGTGAAAACATTCAGCTAGTTGTTTGACTTTGGCATATGAGTTTATACTGAGAACACAGAAATGTATGCGTGAGCATTGTTATTTATCTTCCAGGCTTGTGACGATGTTTCACATGAAACTTAGAATTCTTGAAGATAAAATAAATACTAGATATCATTTTTTTTGCAAGTAAATGCTTAAAATATCAGTTCTGGTCATTTCAATGACTATGAAATAGGTCTAGTCAGTACTGTAATTAAAATGTTTGTTTATTGCTATTTTCTTGTTTGTGTATTTATTCCCCACACGGCTTGCTTCATTACATTTGTTTACGTTTTCTCTTTTGATGTTAGAGATTTTTCCAGGATTACCATATTTTCTTAGTAACCATATGTACTGTGAATGCTGGAAATACTCAGAGATTACTGAGAAATTATAGTAAACCAGAGTATAAAATATATCATCTCTCTCTAAAAAAAAAAAAGAAAAAAAAAAAAACAACCAACAATAGACACACACACAAAAAGAAAAAACAAGACAAAGAAACCAACCTAAGTAAAACAGAAAAAGCAAACAAAAAACATGCATGAGGTATGCAACATTCTTGTCAGTTCATATGTTTGCAAACCCTTACACAGGGTTCATGATTTCTACTAAAAGTTCTATCATATTTTTTCCATTTGCAAAGATACGTGTAAAGAAGTGAAGTAGAAAATTATTCCTGAGTTACCACAAAATACGAATCCTAACATTAAATCTTTACCTGTATGCCTCTCCCTTTTTTCAGGTTTTTCTGATCTGTCTTTGTGTGTCACTAGAAAAGAAGAAAAGTTTTCATATAAAATGTTAAACAAGAAACTTAAGAATAAAAAGTAATTATTCCAAGTTAATTCATTTGAGATGAAATGACAAGTTGTGTTATTAATGTGTTATCCTATGCATATCTGCACAGCACACACCATACACGGTTATTATTAGGCAACAGTAGCTAAGTCACTGCTTCCAAATCATAGTTACATTCCCCAACTGTTTTCTACAGTATGAACAACTTTTGCAACTGTCTGTTCCTGAAAACTGTTTTTCAGAAGGCTGTCAAGGACAAAGACAGAGCTCATAGTAAATGCTGCTCCCTGCACTAGAAGCAGTACATCATATGGACCCCTCCATTTTCTGTCAGGCAAAGTCTCATGAAACTCTGGAATCAATCTTGGAGCATTAGAGTGCCACATGCACAAATGGCACTTCTGTCACATGCCAGCTGGCTAGGGATGGATAACTAGCAATGGATATGGATAGCTAGTAATAGATATGGATAGCTAGTAACACTAGCTGAGATCACCTGCTGACAAATGATGATCCCAAAGCCATAATTAGCTGCCCAGTATGTGCAAAGACAAAACTAACTTTTTGACAGTGGAAACTGTGCTGCGATATTCAGTCAATCACGTAATATTTCCCACTCACTTTTCTTAGAATTTCAAACTGCAATTTTCAAGACAATGGAAAATAAGCATGAGGATTTAAGAGCACTTCAGAAAAATCAGCCATGAAACTGCAGGCTGGTTTTAATTATATCTCCTGTGGGGATTTTATCCCACTCAAGTAAAATTCTTTGGCCAAACATGAGCAAATAAGGAAGATCTTTAACAGTAGCTTGAATTTCATATGTGACTGGAAAAAAAAGAGCAGGGAACACTCGCTCTCATGTATTTTAGCAGTACAGCGATGGAATACCTCAGAGTGAGTTTCTGACATACCTGACTGAGTCATTTTTAAGGGCAGCTATTTATTCTCTGTGTCATTAGATAACTTTTCTTTTTCTCTTTAAACTAAGGAGAAATGAATTAGAAATTAGACTAAGACGCTGTTTACTATCTCCATATGCTAATCTTGAAAAGAGAATGTATGAAAAGTAGAAAAATATGGGGATTCAGTGAAAATTTTGTGTTCCTCCAGGCATTCTAAAAAAAAAAAAAAAAAAGAGCCTTAGAAAGACACATATCTACAGTCATAATTTTAATATAAAATGTACCAACTAGACCAATCTTCCTTATTACAGCGAATGCAGAATATTTCTATCCACAGTAGCATTATTGGAGTAATTGTAGCACAAGTTCACCAGATAAAACTGAGAAATCATAAAAATTGGGCGAAGCCTTAAAAATCCTTATTCTTCTTCATTTGCTCAGGTTCTACGAACATTTTCCCCTGCCCTTAGAAATATTTTAAAACATTAAATTCTTCTCATTCAAAGGAAATCAAAGCGTTTCTCTTTTTCTCCAAAAAATAATAAAAAAAAAAAAAATAGAAGTCAATGGTACATTCATGTTGTAATATGAGACATGATAGTCTTTGATCTGTCATTTTGCCAAATCTCAGATAAAATGTTCTTTTGTTACAACTATTCCATTTTCTAGTAATAAATATTCACTCTAATAAACACCTGAAGTTATGTGCCTGTCATTAATCTCTAGTTAGACTTTCTAACTCTTGAAATTTGAATTATTTATATAAAATGGAAAAGCTCCAATTGGAGACAACTAGAGAGATCTAGTCAAGCACAAATTTTAGACAGTACATATTCACTTTTGTTGTGAGAGTTGTCTTCCTTTTCTGAAATAAATTAGCAGTGGCTAGATCTTATTAGTCTTTCCGTGTTTTGGATGATTCCTTATGGCCATACACCTATTTGCTCTTCTAAAATGAGTTTTTTCCTCCAGTCTGACACTTCATTAATCAAGGTTTTATGTAAAAGTCATGTTCACAGAAGCCTTGTAGTGTTTTGACAAGTAGGCAGGTTTCGACAAAAGACTGGCATTCACTAAGAGCAAATCAACACATTCTCTCTAATGCTCTCCCTTTATTACCTCCAAAACGAGTTTGGGGAAAAAAAATATTAAAGGAAGTCCTCATGTTGTGTTTATGTTGTGATTTAGGCACTACATTTTGCTCAGAATTATGCCTAAAGAAAAACATTTTTCCTGGAGTTATTCAATAAGAATAAAAGGCACCTGTTTATGCTTTGGGCATATTTTACATAAGTAAATAATACAGTAAAAACTTATTAATTTATGAATATAATTTTAGATTTTCTGCAGAGTGCTGAATCCAAAGTGTCTTTAAAATCCTCATTCTCTTTCCACCAGGCTTTTACAGAACCTTCTCCACTCTCAAACACAATTGGGATTTACAGAAAGGCCTAGGGTCAACAAATCTGGCAGTTTTGAGACTGTGGTAAAAAGAAAAAAAGATCAAGTGTTAAATACATACCTTTCAGATGTTCCTTCCTTTCATTTCTTTCTTGTTTTTGAGGCTTCTCTCTGTGAATTACTAGAATTATAAAAACAGAAAATTAAATGGTAAATCTGTAATCTCCTGGTATTATGTACGCATTTTATTCTGCAAAAGTAATTGAAGAAAATTTTTGTAAAAACAAAAAATGAATTTTATCTCTGAGTAACAGACACTGGATCTTGTATAGATCTTCTCAGTGTCAATATTTTATTCCTGGAGCAATAGAAATGCTTTGTCTTTGAGTTAAGTCTTCAGATTTTGGATCATGATTTGGCAACAAATATAATTATTCAGCAACTTTCATATTTGTTTTAATTCCATGATATAAGCACAGTGGCTCTAAGATTTCTGATGGAGGAAATTATTTTCAGCTCTTGACAGAAATGCTTTCTATTATTATCAATAAATAGCTAGCATATTGCTTTCCATGCTCTCTTTTTCTTTATTTTTAGATGTTACTTCAGCCACAAGATGGATTAATAGGAATACATCTCTTTTAATAAAAAAGTAATTTCAGAAGGAACAGCTGCTGAAAGCAATCAGGTACACGTCCAGCTAGAAGCAGGCAAATTTGTATCCTTATGGACTCTACTGACCATTTAACTTCTGGACCGTGTTTACGGACAGGGTTGTAATACACAACAATTCAGATAAATATATTCCTTGTCCAACTCCACTTTTGAAAGACTAGAGCTTTTGCCAGTTTCAGTGGGGAATTATTTTCTTTGCAATATTTAAGATTTTGTACTCAAGTAAACCACAGAAAACATAACCCTGGTTAGAAGACAACTGTGAGTTTTATACACATAGTAATATTTTTGCATACACTCGTTTCACCAGTTTGGCAGCAAATGTAATTTAATAGGGGTGCAAACATATTTTTTCTTGGTTAAATATTTCCTCATTAAAATATAGGTTCATGTCTTTAGGAAAAATCATTCCAAACTTCACTAATTTCATTATGTCTTTGCGTGTGTTTCCTTTATTGAAATACATTTGCTGTCATAATAGGTAAATAATTGCTGATAACAATTAGCAGTACAGTAGAAACAAACTACAAGGAAATTTTTCAAAGCCTTTAAGGAATGTGGACAGCTAATTTACACTAAAAACCAGGCTGTGAAGAACACAGCAGCAATATGCTACTACATGAAGGACAGGATGACTCATTCAATTACTTCAGGACATCTAATACCATACCAAAGAAAAACATTTTTTCCTTATATCCAGAAGGCCTTAGGCTGTGAATTTTTGCAGAAATTGTAGCATGCTGTTACATCTTATATCTATACTAGCAAGTGAAACCACTGTGCAAAATACTTCAAGCCAGCATGTTGTCAATTTTGGATGGGACAGGTAAAAAATTTTGAAAAAGCTCTGTGATGGTCAATGGTATTTGGTAGTTAAATGTGAACTTTTGATTCCCTCTCCAAATGCTTTTATATTCAAATTTGCATATAATCCTGGAACCTCGTCAGAAACAACACTTCATCACCTACACGTCTTTTCCAGATTTATTTACCTAGATATATACTTTCTTTTTTGCAAATGGCTTAACATGCACCATTTCTCAAGCCCTCAAAGATTACATGGAAGAATTATGTTAGGATTAGAAATAAGCCAAGTTGGCCATATGGTGAAGTTTCTGAGAAACAAACTAGAGTTAATAAAATATTTTTGTATATATAACAAACATGACAAACTATATAAAATCATTTTTAAATCAGTTAAGTCAGGCACTCTTCAGCTGAAAAATGCTGAATCTAGAGCTGCCCATTCTACTTTAATTCAGTATTTTATTTGGTTTATGTCACACTTTGCAATTAAAATATCACATATTTTGTTTTTCTTAATAGGATACTGGATTCACCTGGAAAACAAAAATAAGAATGAAATATGTCTTTGTAATAAATGTCTATGCTGAAATTTTCGCACAACTTAAATAAATTTGCTTGGACTTCCTTGCAAATATAAAAAATAAAAACAAACAAATAAAAAAACCCAAACACATAAGCTCAGAGTGGACTGGTATTAGCACTGAAAAAATACAATGCCCCAACATAGTGCTCACTAACCTAGATTTTGGAAATTGCTGACACATTTTTACATGAGTTTGAATGAAAATTCAGCCTGAGGCGAAAAGCCAAGCAAGAAAAAATTTATCCTCAATGACTGAAGTATGGTAAATTTATAAATAAACTAAAATAGGAGCTTATAATGGAAAATTTTACGGCAATTTAACAATGTATTCTGAGTTTAATCACATAAGAATCTTGCTATTTATTTCACTCAAAATTTAAAACAAGAAGTGTAGCACATATGTGGGTTTTCCAAATTTAAATTGTCTAACATTATATTTGATTTAGCACCAAATGGAAAACATAGCAAAGGGAAATTAGATTGTTTTTCTTAATTAGAATGTCTGAGACAGTATTGGATAACATCTCTGACCTCAGAAAAAATAAGTGCAAAAAGAAGAGATGAGGAGGAACTGATCCAACACTTAAGCTAAGTAAAAATAGTTTCCAGCTGAGTAAGTCTTTGTCCACTGCTTAGTATAAGGCTAAAAGTGATGAGTGGAATGAGCACAAAGTGGAGATTGCTTGTTCCAGCTAACTAAGTGCTTGTCCGCAGAGCAGCACTCACAAAAGTTAAGATAAATGGACTCATACAATGAAGTTACAATGCATTAGTCAGAGAGCATTAAATCTCTGTGTAGACGCTTTCATTCAGAAGCCAAGTAACCTTAGATGGCTCTAACATTATCCTTTTTGAAGAAATCCTCAATTTAAAGTTAGGTTTAATTGCAGTACTCAGAGGTTGTTATCATCATCTGAACTGAGGTTCAGTTTTTCCAGCTGATTAAGCTGATAAAATACCTGCAGTGTGAGTTGTACCCCAGGCTGCTCTCAACCCATATATAGAGAGAGGTGTCCCTGCCTATATCAGGGTGACTGGAACTAGATAATCTTAAAGGTCCCTTCCAATCCAAGTCATTCTATGATTCTGTGAAATGTAAAAAAAATATTTTCAAAACCAGATTGGAGATAGCTTTGAACAACCTTGTCTAGTGAAGTGTTTCCATGCCTACTGCAGGGAGGTTGGAGCTAGATGTTTGTATGGGGCTGCTGAATCACAGCCTGAACCTCTGATTGATCACCTGAGGTGAGCAATGAGTCAGCCATGGGAGCACAGGTAAAGGCAATTCACCTGTGCTGCAGGAAGGGGTGGAGCTTGGTTGCACCTCTCCTAGACCCATTTAAGAACTGACTGCCGGGGGGGGGGGGGAAGGATCTCTTCTGGAGATCTACTCCACTGGAGTTTATTATGTGAGCCCAGGGTAGAGTGAGTGTCCTTTATTCCTTACTCTAGTGTTATAATTGTATCAGATGAACTCCTGGATATACTGTACCATCTGCATATTCATTGATTGGGCCAGGTTACTGAAGGACACTTTCATCCCAAAATATTCTGTGATTCTATAAAATATTAGAAACAAAAAAAAATTGTCCTGTGTTTCAGTACAGCATATAATTAAAACAGTATTATAAGATTGCAAAAAGAGACTTAACTGATGACATATCAGTGTCTTTCTTTCTGCAATCTAATAACGTTTTTGTGATTATCCTTGCCACAGTAACATTCCTCCATGTAAAGCAAAGCATTTCTCTATAGACAGTGCTGTACACAACAGTCTGTTTTGGTCAAGGCTGCAGTTTCATCTGTATTTTTAGAATACGAGTTTTGAAAATCCCTAACTAGAATCCTTTGCTAATGGATCTGAGTTAGTTATTACTCAGCTAACCTAGTGGCATCCTAAAAAATTCGTTTCCATACTACATGATTTATTAAGTACTTGGAAAGAGATTCTAGGCACTACACACGACCCTGATTAGCACAGAGCTGAAAAGTTACCACTAGAGTTGTAAAATACTATAAAAACCTATGAAGAAAATATATGTATATAAAGGATATAACTGTGTAAGGGAGAGTGTATGTATATGCACATTACTTTTAATGAGACTCCCGTTGCTTTCTCTTGCCATTACTGAGCACAGCATTGGTACATGAGAGAGATGCTCATCAAATTTTATTTGGTCTATACTTACTGAGGAGGTTTCATTACACAAAAAATCTGCACGTATCCCAGAAAACATGTTTGTTTATCTGACCTCTGAAAACCAGTTGGAGCCAGCTCCTTTATAGATTTTTTGAAAGTGCCGGTTAGAGGACACTCTAAAAAAGTTCTTATAGTGGAGATTTTTCTTATCTTTCATACACACCTTGCTCACTCTTAACTATGTCTAACTTGGGTGGCACCCACCAGTCTATAAATATACTTTCTTTCTTGCCCAATGCACTAAAGGTATTTTGCACCAGAGAAAGTTTGTCTGCACTCTATCTTCTTGCACTTTTGCTATAAAAACTATCCTGGATAGATTCAGACAAGATAATTTTATTTGAGTTTGCAATATAACCCCACAAATTTAAAATGACACTATTTGTTAATGCCAAGACACAAATGAAGTTCTCATTATTTACAGTTCGTGCTGATTAATCTCTGGATTATTTTATAAAATGATAATTATAACACATGCAGTTGGCAAAGACAGCATATAGTACACACATGTATGTAGGTAAATAGACAAAGAATTACCTTTCGGTGTTGTTCGTTTTTCATATCTCTCTGTTTTCTCTTTATGAATTTCTGAAAACAATGCAATGCAGAATTTAATCATGACTATTAAAGTAATTTTAACACAAGAAAATATCAGATGAATTATTTGAATAAAAATAGCGAATTGGTCAAATATTATAGCACGGTTATGACTTTATAATCTGCATATTCTTAATTATATACAATAAAATTCATTTATCAGTGTATATATCATTTTTCATTTATATATGCCTATATATACATTCACATACAAGATATGTAGACGAGAATCACAAGAGTAAATTACTTTAATAATCATTCTGATTTAAATTGATCAACAGTAGCGCTTTTAAAGTCAAGAACATGTTGTGCTCATCAGCAACAGCTATATAATAACATATGTTGGTTATGAATCAGAAAAAAAACATGCTTTTATTCAGCATTTTTCTCTGTGTTTCTCTAGTTGCTTGCCAGGATTAGCATTTTGTATTTTACAAATTAACTTTCAAAGGTAAAGTTAATTCAAAAGTAATGTTTTCACTGCATGTTCCAGGTTTTTAAAGCTCAGATTCTCAGTCGGTAGCTTCAACTCATGACAAAAGATGGACTCGATGCTGTACATAAATTTACAAACGCATCTAAAAGTTGCTGGGTTAGGGATCAGAGTTTCTGAGAATGACTCATTTTAAGCATGCTGTATACTAAAGCACATTTCATAAATACCTTAGCTAAGATCTGCCTTGTTAGAAGAAAAAGTAGTATAGTATTTATATGTCCTTGCTATGTGACCCTTTATAAATAAAATTTCTCACGTGACATTGATACTGTTCTTACTGCTATATAACTTCGTAGTTATTTTTTCTACAGTCCTTTTTGTGCCAAAACCACAATAATACAGAAAATGAAAAATGTGAAATTTAGGAAAAGCAAACCAGAATTAAATCAAGATTTCATGATGCTGTTTGCTTTCAGTGGTAGAAATTTAAAGGACATTTCTTAGAAGTGCCAAATACATTCGTAATATTAAACAGAGCATCTAGTTTATGGTAATATACGTATTTTCCTGCAGTGGAAAACTGGTATAAAATACTGGACCAAACAGATCTTTGACAAAATCACATACAAATCTCACCAGAGTCCATTACTTCCTTTTTTCAAGGGTGAGATTTGACCTTTAGATTCTAAATAGCGTGTGTTCTGGCCTTCAAAGTAAAACAACAGATTAAAAGCTGCACATATTACATCTCAACTCTAAGAAGTTACTCTAATATTTGTTAAAGAGAATAGAAATGTTCTATTTATCCCACTAGTTATTTGCTCCAGTTGTAACAGAACATACATTGTCAAAGAGATATAGTAGCAAATGGTATTTTCTCTTTTCAATATTGATTTGTGCATTATAAATAAATACAGAATGCTTTTATTGAATGGTGTAAGTCATCTAAAATAAAGATTTTGCTTTGTTCACAAGAAACATAGCTATGCTACAAAATCAGGCTATGTAGCCGTCAGAAAGGATAGTATTTCATGGAGATAAATGATAACAAAGGAAAAAAAATGTATTAGTGTTAGCTGCTTATGTATGGCAGCATAACTAAGCTAATTATATGATGTCAATAAGCCAAAAGGACTTTTGTTCTATTTTTGTCTTGTATTTGCAGTTTGGGTGTGTAGTTCATTTTTTGTTCTACAAACCTCAAATGTGATGATTAGGAAAAAATCATCTTATATTGATTTACAGTACTTCAGCTGAGCTTGGATTATTTTTCTTCATGCAAATATATGAGGATAATTTTTCCATCTACTGAGAGAATCCTATTGCTGGATTTTCAAACATTTCCCTCTTGTTCTGCTTAAAAGGATACTTAAACTGGTTTCTGTAACATGATCATAGAAATAGTGCAAGATAGATTATTTGCAGCTACATGATTCCTCCCTGATTCTGAGCATATCTGAGAAATTCTCCATGCCACTGCTCCAGATTACCTTCCTTACAATGCATTTAAGAAAGTTCAGTTACTTCCTTTGCACAACAATATATATAGGAGTCATACCTCAGCCAGCTCAAAGGTCATTCTACATAAAGATATGATTGTGGCTCACAAAGTGACAAATCACGTTCTACAGAGACTAATATAAAAAACCTAGAATCCTTAGAATTGGAAGGGACCTCTGAAGGCCATCTAGTCCAGCTCCCCTGCAATGTAACAGGGGCATCCAAGCTGAGTGTTACGGTTGACACATCGGAGGGAAGGGAAGCCATTGAGGCTTCCCAGAGGGATCTGGATCTCTGGAGTTGGAGAAGTGGACCCATGAGAATTTAATGAGGTTCAACAAGGCCAAGTGTAAGGTACTGTACTTGGGGTTGGGGCAATCCCAGGTATTGATACAAACTGGGGGAAGAACTCCTTGAGAGTACCCCTGCTGAAATGGACTTGGGCATCCTGGTAGACAAGTAGCTGGACATAAGCCAGGAATGTGCACTTGCAGCCCAGAAAGCCAACTATATTCTGGGCTGTATTAAAAGAGGAGTGGACAGTAGGACTTGATCCTTTGAAGGGTTCATTCACAATCTCTCTCAGCAACCTGTTCCCCTGTCTCACCACCCTCACTATAAAAAAATAATAAATGTCTTCTTTATCTCCAATCTAAGTCTACCGTCTTTCAGTTCAAAGCCATTTAACCTTGACTTATCCTTACATTACTCAAGACTCAACTTCACCGGGTTCCCATTACCTTTAATGTATTTCTCTATAAAAAAAAAAAAAAAAAAAATCCTTTTCTTGAAAAAAAAAATGTATAAATAGGTATTTTTTAAAAAAAGGTTTTAAAACTTTGTGATTTTAGCAGTTTTCTTTTTTCTTACTTTTGTCTGCGAAATATATATGAAACAATGATTGTAGAGGTGGCTATCTAAATCAGCTTCATATTTTGTCAGTAATTAATTTTACTGACATAAGCACTGCAGTAATGCATATAAAGTGATACTTGCTAGAGAGCAACAGTGATAATTTCACCTAATTTTCTGCTACAGTTAGGATTCCATATATTGCACAAAACTCTATAGAAATTCCTTGAAGTGATCTTCATAGTGCATAAGTTTGTATGTGTATTTTTATGTATTGCAAAATATGCCATCATTAAGATCTTTTCACAAACTTCCCATTATGCTTAGAACTGTCATAAAATACAATAGCCTGAAAGACATCAGTTCTAATGCATAACGATATAAATTTTCCCAGCACAAGTAAATCTAGTTTCAATATATGCTGATCTTGATTAATCTACAAGAAAAGAAGTAGAGACTGTTAGCTAACTCTGAAAGATTTTAAATAAATAAACACATTAGATTATTCTACTGATGTTTTTCTCTGATCAGTTTTATACTGTCTCATCCTTTAAGACAAAGAGCTTTAATTTTCTAGTAATCATATCATATCTTATTGCTGAGTTGACAAAGTGGCTACAATATTGTAGAAGACGTACATGACCAGTTTAAAGTATGCAATTTATTTCTATCAATGTGACCCATTGTTAATAAATCCTAAATATTATTAATTCATTTTTAGAAAAATGACAGAATCAAGCAGCAGCAAGGATAATCTTCATCACCACGGCAACCATCCTGATTATGAGATGACAGCACGGTTTATTACATTACTGCAAAGGAGTATGTATTTCAAAGCTGTATTTTATTGTTTTCTTTTTTATTTATCAGACAGATGTGAAAATTGTCTTTCCCTTTTTTTGTTTCTTAGATTTTGAATGGATAAGTACTTTATTTTTTAAAATATGGGTATTGATTGACACTAGTTTCTCTAGACCTTGAGTGCTGTGTGGATATATAGAACATAGATGTTTTTTTTGTTTTAAATAACTTCTAGAAGGGAAACTAGTAGACCTCTTACTGACTAAAGATGCTTAGTGGATATATTTTAGCAGGCCAATATACCCAGAACAGGCTCTCAAAATCTTCTGATGATCTGTATTGCAGGCAGCTTTACTGAAAATCCCTGTTGAAAATGTAATTTTGACATTATCTTCCCCCACCCCTCACCAAGCTAATTTCTACTATCAACAATTTGCAGTGTCTAAAAACAACCTGGCACTGGCTATGTACTGTGAAGCCCCAGATACGGAAAAATCTGGGTTGGAAAAAAGAATGCAGTTCTCTGATGCAGGATGGGCTCGGCGATCTGTGAATTTACTAGAGCATGACTGAAGAAGCACCACCCCAGCATGGCTTAGCACAAAGAGATTCTTATGTTTCTGTCAGCACAATTCCCTTGTTCATCGGCCTTTGTCTGCTCTCCTGTTGCTGACTTTGTATTTTGCTAGTTACTTTGTGAGTTTGGTTTGTTGTCGTTGTTGTTGTTGTTTTGCTTTGTTTTTCTTGTTTTAAGGTATATGTCACCTGTAAGATGGAAAATGAGCTGGAGGAGCAGTCTAGGAGCAGTCTTAGCAACGCCAATTTGCTTCTCACAGCTTTTCTGGTTAACGGGGGCTGAGGCTCATAGGTGCTGCCATAATACAATACTAAAAGAACAGCCTAAAATAAAAGAATAAAACTATAAAATAAAATAATAATGCTATATATTATACTATGTTAAAAAGAGAAAATAACAAAAGTCAAAGTGTCAATGGCAAAAGAGCCAAAGTGAGGAAGAAATGAATTATTTTTCCTACCGGAAAACACAAGACAGATTCACTCAATGTAACTCGGGAAGTCAGCAAAAACACTGGGAATTTAACTCTGATGTTTGTCATTTAATATTACGTTCTGATGTTTAAGTAATCCTTTTTATACTTAAATACTGTAGTAAACATGGAAATTAGGTTCAGCAACTTTACTGCTTAAAAGTATAGTTGAACTGATGAAATTTCATTTGAAATGGCAATACTCTTTTTTTTCTTTTTTCCTAAGGAATTTTACCAGTTGGTTTTCCTTTTCATTTTCACTAACAGGAAACACAGAAATATGTACCTCTAGTGCTTTGACACTTTTTTTATTGAAGTATGAAAAGGAGAATGAGTCCTACTGATAGTTCTGA